GGCAATCAGCGTCTGAATGTCGCTTCCCCGATCTGTAGACCACCGTCATGTCAAATTCTTAAAGCTTCAGGCTCCAGCGCGCCAACCGTTCTAAAGGGTCTCTTAAATTCGTCAGCCAGCAGAGGGAGTGATGGTCGCTGACAACATTAAAAGGACGACCATACAGGTATGGGCGGAATTTTATAACCGGCCACACCACCGCAAGGCACTCTTTTTCCGTAGTGGAATAATTTTCTTCCGCACGTGAAAGAGTTCTGCTCGCGTAAGCAATTACTCGTTCGGCACCATCCTGCCACTGCACGAGTACAGCTCCTAAGCCAACATTGCTAGCGTCGGTGTGCACTGTTGTCGGTGCGTCATCATCAAAGTGTGCGAAGACTGGTGGCTTCTGAAGGCGTTGCCGGAGCTCGTCGAATGATTTTTGCTGCTCTTCATTCCATACGAATGCGACGTCTTCTCTGGTAAGGCGAGTCAACGGCGAGGCAATGCGCGAGAAGTTCTCAATGAAGCGTCGGTAGTAAGCACACAGTCCTAAAAACCGTCTGACGGCCTTTTTGTCAGTTGGCGCTGGAAAATTCGTAACGGCAGCTATTTTTTCAGGGTCAGGCCGCACACCTTCACTGCTGACAAGATGCCCCAGGAACAGAAGCTCTTCGAAGCCAAAATGGCATTTTTCCGGCTTAAGTGTTAGTCCGGCGGAACGGATAGCTTGAAATACTGAACGCAGTCGCCTGACGTGTTCGTCGAATGTGGCAGAAAATACGATGACGTCATCTAAATACACTAAGCACGTCTGCCACTTGAGGCCTGATAGTACGGTGTCCATTAGCCGCTGAAACGTTGCCGGTGCTGAGCACAAGCCAAATGGAAGTACCTTAAATTCAAAAAGGCCATCAGGTGTCACGAAAGCTGTTTTCTCCCGGTCTCTTTCATCGACTTCTATCTGCCAATACCCACTCCTTAGATCCATCGACGAGAAATAACGCACGTGCCGTAGTCGATCGAGTGAATCGTCGATACGTGGAAGTGGGTAGACGTCTTTTTTTGTCACCTGATTCAGCTTGCGGTAATCCGCGCAGAAACGTAAGGTGCCGTCTTTTTTCTTCACTAATACAACCAGCGAAGCCCAAGGGCTTTTCGACGGCTGAATAACGTCGTCTTCAAGCATCTGTCGCACCTGCTTTTCGATGGCTCCACGTTCTCGCGGAGCTACCCGGTACGAGTTTTGCCTGATGAGTCTGGTCATGTCGTCCGTTATAATTCGATGTTTCGTCAGTGGCGTTTGACGGACCCTGGAAATCGAAGAGAAACAATCTTCAAACTTGTTAATAAGCTGCATGATACTTTGCTTCTGCGCCGGCAGCAAACTTGGGCCAATATCAACAGATAGAGGTGCAGGGGTGAGATCAGTTGAATTATCTTTTTCGTGAGTTAGGCAGTCTGTCATCTCGGCGAGCTCTTCCACGTACGCGACTGCCATGCCCCTCGTTAGATGTCGGCGTTCAGAGCTGAAGTTCGTAATAAGGACGTGCGTGTGTCCGCATTTTATGCTTACGACGCCTCTTGCGATAGATAAACCATGGCTGAATAGCAGTGTTGGAATTTGCTCGGCGATGTTTTCAGAATCGCTCGACGTGTCACATGTCACAGCCACGAGTGCACTCGACCGCGGGGGAATGGTCACGTCGTATTCGAAGACACGCAAAGGCTGACGTCGCTGCTCTGTACAGGGCACATCCGAAACTTGATCTGGGGCCGTCCAAAACGTAACCGATCTCTCAGGAATGTTGATAATGGCACCGTATTCACGCAAGAAGTCCATGCCCAAGATCAGGTCTTTGCAGCACTCCGGTAAAATTACGAAAGTAGCGACGAAATCTGAACTGCTGATATTAATTCGAGCTGTACATTTGCCTGTCGGCGTCACCAATTGACCCCCTGCGGATCTAATGTTTGGTCCCGTCCATATTGTTCTTACTTTCTTTAGGCAGTCGGCGAGTTTACGGCTGATAATAGAAAAGTCCGCCCCAGTATCTACCAGTGCTGTTATTGGGCGTCCGTCTATACAAATGTCTAGATTGGCGCTTACGATTTCCGTTGATGTCGGTGACGTCGTATCGTCCTTGGTATCGTGCATCATACGATCCGTGGTATCATTCGTCATATCACGTCGTAGAGAAGATGTTGGGGGTGTGATAGCATCTCGACGGGCGGCAACCTTCCCCCCAAAGGTCGCAGCTGTTAGTTTCCCCGACGAGGGCTAGGAGATCTGCCCCGGACCACCTCGGAGTACCTGCGCTGCGGCGGCGAGTTCGGTGCTGGTGAAGGAGAGCGGGGTCGACGATACGGCACTTCGGGTTGCTGTGCTTGCGGGCCTGCACTGCTGTCACGGCGGTTATCGAAATAGGCACGAGGGGAGGTTTGTAGAAAGTTATGATGTCTACGGTCACGGTACGGGCTTTGGCGGAATATATGGCCGGCTTCTCCGCAATGAAAGCAAAGTGGTTGACGGTCGACGGTGCGCCACAAGTCCGTCTTACGGATGAATGGTCGACTGGTGGGCATACCTTGCGACCAAGATGCAGATGTCGGCGGAGTGTACATTGGCGCCGTTTGCATAGGCACGTTGGACTGTGGATACGGCTGCGGCGGATTGGGAGCTGGGGCCCACGGCTCATTGTAAGGCCCTTGGCTCATGTCTTGATAAGCCAGTTGTGACGAGTTGTAGGACACTGGAGTGTGTCGACGAACAGCTGATGCGTAGCTCACAGACCACTGGTCTGAGGGCGATTCGGGCAACGAAAATGCCTGGCGGAGTTCTCGCCACACAACTTCTGCAACGCAAGCCATGGTATTTTCTTGCGGAGTCACAAGGAGGTTTCGGATCTCCTCCCGAACGACCTCACGAATGAGTTCGCGCAGAGAACACTCACTACCGGCACTTAAAGCAGAGAGACTGGGACATGTTTTGATTGGTTGGTCATGGTATCGGCGCCGTTGCTGCAGTGCTCGCTCGATTGTTGTAGCCTTTTTGACAAATTCGGCTACGCTTGTTGGTGGGTTGCGTAGGAGACCGGCAAACAGCTCTTCCTTGACGCCTCTCATCAAATGTCGTAGTTTTTTACCTTCAAGCATCTCGGGGTCGGCCCGCTGAAATAGGCGGGTCATGTCTTCCGCAAACATGGCGACGCTCTCGTTTGGTTTCTGTATGCGTGCCTCGATGAGCTGCAAAGCAGAATCACAGCGGTCGGTGTTTGCGAATGTCCCGAGAATTTGCTGCCGCAATTCTTCCCACGAAGACAGCGTTGACTCGCGGTTCTCGTACCACGTACGAGCGCTGTCTGCCAAAGCAAAGTAGACGCGCGATAGCTTTTGTTCAGTTGGCCAGCGGTTGGCTTTGGCGACTCGCTCATACTGGGCTAACCAGTCCTCGACGTCTTCATAAACCTCACCGTGGAAGGTCTCAGGAATTAGAGGCTGATCAACAGTAAGCTGTGAAGGCCCTCCGGTAGCCATTTCTCCCGGTACGGTGTGTTCCTGGAGAAGTTCGAGCGGGATCACCTCGGGACTAAGGCCTCGCTGTCGGCGACTGTAGCGGTGGACAGGAGTATCCACTGCAGGAACGGATTGCGGTGGTGGACTCGATTTGCTAGGGCGCGGAGGTGTCCCAAGCATCAGTTGGAGAAGTCCAGCACCTCCACCAATGTCGCTAGGTGAAAATAATAGAGCACAGGATGACGGTGCGACCAGAAAAACGAGGTCTGTATTAACAGAACAAAAGAGCAGCCACTTCGACTTCTTCTTTCTCAGAAAAATCGTGGGTGCTGTCCACGCTCATCACTTCGTCGTCCTTTGTCTTCTTGCCCGGCCTTTAGCCGTGACAATATATAGAAATTACGGGGCTAGTCTATGTTTCCGACGCGGGTGAAGGTGGCTGGTGGGGACTCGCTGGTCCGACTTTCGCAGCTCGCCATACTTACAGCAACTGCCTGATTTCTTCGACAGATAGTGGTGGTGGTGGTGGTGGCTAGAAAAAGAAAATGCGCCTAATTTCGGCGGCCCGGTAGGGAGCACGGTGCAGCGCTTCAACAGATGAACACGGCATTGAGTGTCTGCGAGCGCAGTCAGCTGTTTTCACCTTCTTGACAGTGACGTCATGAAGTTTCGACCAATCACAGCGGCGGCGAGACTTGCAATGGAAGCTGTGGCGCCTGCTGCTTGTTTTCGGCAAAATAAAGCTACTTGCGTTGGTTGATGCAATTTTTGGACTATTATCTAGTTCGCCACATAAAATTACGTATCATGACACCATAATCCTTTTATTCAATAAGTGTTTCAGTGTCCCTTTAAGGTGTTTCGCAGTGCATGCCTGATGTTCGATATATCGAGTGCTCCAGTTACTTTTGTTCGATGTAACCATAAAATTTAGTTTGCGTTCACATCAAAGCTACGCCATACTTGAAATTTGTTCAATATACACGTAACGTTATAAGTTGCTACATGGTTATTACAAAACTAATGCGTTACATTTATCTTGATTTCACCCACAGGATACGCTACTAGAATTTAAAATTCAAACAAATTTATGCCTTTATTGCGAAGAGTAAATTTCATTATATATGCTTTCTTTCCGTGTGCAATGAACATTTGGAATAACCGGTCTAACGAAGCTTTCACCCAAAAATCTTTGGTATTCTTGGAAAAACCTCTGATCCTAAGTGTCCTCAAACCTCTATATCACTGCCTTGCATCATTTGTGGTTCTTTACTGCTTTACTGCTTTACTGCTTTACACGTTTTTTTAACGTTTATGTACCACTATAATGTGGTTCAAGTTAGACTGCAATATTTATTACAAAATATAACTAACTAAATAAATAAATAAGCACAATCGAGTTGGTCTCTAAGACTATGTATTCACACACTAATTCACGCAATGCACGTGTGCACAATAAAAAATTGTTGTTAGAAAAACTCGTCTTTTTTGTGCCTGTGGTGCAGTTCTGCAACGTGCGCGTGGACCGGTACTTGAACAATCTGCGGGTGAAATGTGACTTCGACCTGGAGGGCATGATGGCCACGTATGATGGAGCGCTGTCTTATGGTGCAAGCGTTGTGCAGAACTTCACCATCAAGACTTTCATCATCAAACACTCTGGAGTCAACCCTCCTTTACTGTCCGTGTACACGGGAGACAGAATGTGCAAGTCTGATAGGTGTATGTAGCTCTTCGTCACTTTATGTGGCTTCTGAAAATGTGTGCATGTGCTCCTCTGGCTTGCTTTCGCTTTGCAGCCCACATGAAGGATTGACAGATCTGACAATGTTGGGCGTGAGTTAGAGTGACTGACAATTCTTATTCTTCCCACTTTGACTAGTGCAGCATCTGCAATTAGAGCTTACGGCAAAGAAAATTTCGTGTACTAACTGTTGCTTTACCTTGACCCGGGATAGTTAATACATATTTGTCCGCACGACAAAGTAAGAAACCGAGTGAAGTAAAAGCGCATACCTGCAACGCAGAAAAAAAGGGCGAACCTGGAAGAAACATTATGAAAAGAAAGAAAAAAGTCAAAGCGCGTTCCAGCCCAAGTGAAGGCTCCACACACTAGGAAGATAAGCCTTTGTTTCCCATATGTTTGTGTTGTTTTCTTTCGCTTTTTTCGGATGTTTATTGTACTTTTCGTGATTAAGTGTGACTTTCCACTGTATTTTCTTTAGTAGTAACTGGTTTCTTTGACGATTATCTATATTCTGTTCTGTGATCTCTTTTTTTACAGTTCGTACAGCTTGTAGTTTGTCTGCTGCTGTAAGAGCGGTGCGTCTAACTTCCGACACTAGCATTTTGCCGAATCGTAGGGACAAATTAAAACTTCAATGACGTTTGCATTTACGGGATCAAAGCAACCACTCGCATTCCAAACGTGCAGCATGCACGGTTTACGTGTATCGTACGCGGTCCCTGTGTGACGTCAACACGAGACGTGAGACAATGGCAAGGTGGTGCCTTCAACTGCTTGGCATTCAAAAAGAGCCTATTATTTTAGTAGACAGGATTTCACAAGTTAGACCAATAGCCATAGGGAGAAGGCTACGCGCGGGTGCTTAGCCGGATGGTCAGATGGACAAATGAATTATAAACGAGCGACCTCGTGTGGGCGGTGGAACGAACAAACCACGGATGAATGGATGAACTAACGAACCACAGACGGACGACGATGAATGGAAGGACGAATGAACGAACACTGGACAAAAGGGTAGACGAACAGGCCATGAATGAACGACCACGGATGGACGGATAAACAGATGAACTAACCAGGGACGTATCACCTCATGGACGAACGAATGAACGAAACACGAACGGACGACCACAGACGGACAGAAGCACCATGTATGGTCGGACGGACGAACGAACCATAATCAGACGACCACGTATGAAGTGATAGATGGGCGAACCGTGGATGGAGAGATAAATGAATAAACCACTGACGGACAGACCAACGAGTGAGCCATAGACGAATGGATGAGTGAACGCACCACAGATTGATAACAATGAATGGGTACCCAGACGGACGAATGACGGGTGGATGGACGGGTCAGACGACCACAAATGGACGGACAGACGAAAGAATGGCTAGCAATCGATCGATCTCACGCGAGTCAATTGCCAGCCCACTAGTGACACGTAACTTCAGGAGCTTCCAGGCTGTCGGAGCACCAGCTGTGTGCCGTGTGTCGTTACTGTTCCTCGCGCTTCAGCAAAATTGCTCATCCTAGGCCACTGCATCTTATTCTACCAAAAATCCTGACTACGGGCTTGTCACAAGAACTGTGACAAGCCAAAAAGAGAAAAGATGATAAAGGTTGATATCGCTCGTATAAAAGTAATGCAAACGCTATGAAAGTATTGTCACGGAGTCGCAACGTGGCCGAAAGGAGTCGATTACAGATCGAAGATGAAACTGCTTATTCGGGCCAAACTTGTGGCCAACCGATGAAAAGTAAGATTACAGCGAAGCACTGGCACTGATAGCGGCGGGTAGAGCGTCGGCCGTCGATCAACTGACACGCGGCGAAGCGTGTCGGCATTCATAACCTTCACATCGAATGTTCTAGCATTTTCGCTAGTGGTGATGTAGGCTCCTGAATATTTTGTGACGTTCCCGGAGCGGGCGTAGTCTTAACAAAATGATCTACTAAAGGCTCGATGCTTCTCGAACATCGTAGGCATGGTTTGCGCTGAACGTAGTGCAACGGGGTGATAACACAACTTGAAGAAAGGAGCGTGGCGTGGCCCCCCTCTGAAAAAGACATGGTCCCGATGCTGTAACAAGACGAAGTTACAAATAATAAAGACAGTAAACAGTAAGTACTGCAACAACAACAAAATACAGTCCACAGGTTCGTGCATGGAATGGCTTAAGCCGCACGACATGGACGACTTCAGGTCGAGCACGGCGCCATTGAGAGTTCGTAATGCCATCGAGAACAAAGTCGTAGTCGAGTGGGCCGAGACGTCGAACAACTCTGTACGGTCCGATGTACCATCGCAAAAGTTTGCCACAGAGCCCACGTCGGCGTATCGGCGATCATACCCATGCAGGTGTGGTCCCCGGGCTGGTACTCAACAAAGCTTTGTCGAAGATTATAACGGCGGCTGTCAGTCGCCTGCTGATTCTTGATGCGCAAGCGCGCAAGTTGACGAGCTTCTTCCACGTGCTGAAGGTAGGCGGGGACGTCGAAGTTCTTTTCGCCAGCGACGTTTGGAAGCATAGCATCGAGCGTCATTGCCGGGCTCCTTCCATAGACCAACTTGTATGGTGTTATGTGCGTCATTTCTTGGACGGCCGTATTGTACGCGAAGGTCACGTACGGAAGGATTTCGTTTGTCTGTGGGTGGTAGGCGGTAGCGCGGTGGTGGCTGGTCTGGCTATGTCTCAAAATCGCTCGAGTCAAGTCAGCAGTAAAGGCCGTACCTCTATTGGTGATGACAACGTCAAGGTGCCATGACGAAGGACGATGTTCTCAACGAAAAACTTGGCTACCTCTTCAGCGCTACCTTTGGATAGGGCCTTTGTTTCGGCGTAACGGGTGACGTAGTCAGTAATTTCGACGATTCATTTGTTTCCCGACTTTGACGCCAGGAACGACCCTAGTAGCTCCATCCCAATTTCTTGTAACGGTCTGCGAGGTGGTTAGATCGGCTGAAGAAAGCCTGCTGGCCTTGTCGGATGTGTCTTGCGTCACTGACAGTCTTGGCATGTCCTCACGTAACGAGCGACATCGGCGGTAAGGCGCGGCCAGTAGTACCGTTTATGTATCCTCGCGAGCGTGCGCAAAAAAAAAACCAAGGTGTCGTGCCGTGGGATCACTGTGCCGGACCTAGAGGAGTTCTGGTCGCAGAGCTGAAGGCACCACAAGAGGGTACCTGGCTCGAAGCAGCAAGACGTTTTTTGGAGAAGGCCGTTTCGCAGCGAAAACGACGTAAGTGCCTGTTTGAATACTTTCAGAACAATGGAGGTCCTGCCCTAGAGGTATTCAATTAGGCTCCTAATTACAGGATCAGCCCGCTTGCGTTCAGCGAAGTCGTCGGCAGTTATCGCTCCCAAAAAGCAGTCAATATTCAGGTTGTCGGGCGGTGGTGGGTCAATGGCAACTCGCGACAGGCAGTCGGCGTTGGAGTGTTTTCTGCCGGACTTGTAAATGACGGTAACGTCGTATTCCTGAAGTGTCATGCTCTATCGGGCAAGGCGACCTAAAAGGTTCTTTAAGTTAGCTAACCAACACAAGGCGTGGTGATCACTCACAACTTTGAAGGGTCTGCCGTAAAGGTAAGGACGAAACATTGAAGCCGCCCAGATGATGGCAAAGCACTCTTTTTCTGTGGTGTGTAGTGAAGAGGAATGCCCACTACTGCAGCGACATTGACACGTGGGCGCGAGGCACGAGCTAAGGCTGCCTGGTTGCTGCTGCGACGATGCCCGTATACCCGGCCAACTCTTGCTGCTTCTGTACCGACGCTGCTACCGCTTTTGACCTTGAATTTTCAGTGTATTTTTGGTGGAGAGTGCTGTGGTTTTCCCCAGTCGTGGAACTGCGTAGCCGAAGGCGGCCGTCCGTCATGCCTGACTACGCTCTCTTCACACACCCACCGGCTTCTCCACGCATGGGCTGTCCCGGTGCCCAGATCTTGCGTGAACCTGAAATCTTCAGCGGCACCGACGAGAAAGACGTTGAGGATTGACTGGAATCTTATGAACGAGCCAGCGCTACTAACAAATGGGAAGATTTCACGAAGCTTGGTACCGTGATGTTTTATTTAACGGATGTCGCCAAGGTGTGGTACAGAAACCTTTAGCCGGATATCCCCACTTGGACGACCTACAAAACCTGCATTGAACATGTTTTTGGACGCCCTGGTGTGCGCAAACTTCGCACAGAACAACGCCTGCGAAGCCAGTCCCAACAAAGTGGTAAGACATTCACCAGCTATATCGAGGATATCCTCGACCTCTGCCGGCGTGTCGACCCGACGATGGCGGAGACTGACAACGTACGACATATCACGAAAGGCATTTCCAACGACGCCTTTCAAATGCTGCTCTCGAAGAACCCTGTGACTTTCGCTGAGCTCATCGAGTTGTGTCAGAGTTTCGATGAGCTCCGACGACAGCGTCTTCTCACGCGACGCCCTAACGTCCCGGAAGACACCCTCTCAAGCCTGACCACCACCTCTGACCTTCAGTCACTGCTATCTCAGATCAAGGAGTTTCTTCGCGCTTAGGTCGCTCGTGAGCTATCTCTGCTATCAGCAGCTGGCTAACTACCGTCACCTATGCAGGCAAACATTCGCTAGGTCATCCAGGAGGAAGTTTGTGCGGCTCTACCATCTGCCCATGACACTTCACCGTTGCCGAGCCGTGTTGCCTGTGCCGAGATAAATGCACCTCTAAGCTATGCTGAAGTGGCCGCTCGACCACCTCTACAGACGTTTACGTCACTAGCATCAACCGTGCCACGGCAACCCACTCCTCGGTTCACTCAGCCAAGGTCCATGCAGAGTAGGGGACGATGGCGTACACTCGACAATTGCCCAATATGCTTTGCTTGCGGGCTACCTGGCCACATAGCGCGATACTGCCGTCGGCGCGTCTCTGTCTACCACCAGAAATACCAGCAGAGCTTCGAACCTGCCCCTTTTGTGCCACCACGTCATTC